AGGTGAGATGTGCCCAGGGCCAACATCCTCCATGGGCTTCATGTCCAAAGCGTCGCTCTCGTCATCCTCGCGGGCGGTGATGCCCCGGCCCTTGGACTGCAGGCGATGCTGGTCGCGCGGGTTCCGCGTGGCGGTGTGCGCGCGCGGCTCGCCGCGCAACTCCTCGTCGACTTCCGCGGCCCCCTGGGCGCCCGAACCCGCGGGGTCCAGGATGCTCTCGTCTGGGCGAGTCTCCGCCAGAACCCTCTGAAGGAAGTCTCGAAGTGCTCACGCGCTTCACCTGCTCTGTTCTCTTCTTGGAGCCCATGGAAGAGAGGCGTGCAGGGGTGGTCAGGAGGAGGCGCAGCTGGCGCTGAGCCTTCGGCGGATTAGGCAAAAGCCTGGTTTATAAAGCTCTGAGGACCAGCCCGGGGGTCATCGGCCGCTGCAGCGGGAGATCCACCTGAGCTGGCCCTCTTTTCGTCCACCCGGTCGTAGTGTTCCACGCAGCCGTAGAAGATGTCCTCGTCGTCGCCGTCGAAGTCGACCTGCCAGGAGTGCCCCTCGCAACGTAGCGGCTGTGCATGCGGGGCAAGATTCGCGGGTTCACCGATCCGTCGTGACAGCAGGAGCCGAGAGGGAACCCACTTCAACCGTTGGCGCATTCGAACCTCAGAGAGGTCAATTACCCTGCGACGTACCCAACCCATCGGCACTAAGGGAAACTATAAGGCATGCCGACGCTTGTGTGACAGCACACTGCAAGAAACGGTTGCACCGAATATATATATATATATATATACATATATATATATATATAGATGGATAGATCGGAGGTGAGGGGGTGAGATCGAAGTGGGACGGAGAGCCCCCCCACGGGGAAATCGGTTTCCGCTTCGTGTTCGCGCAGGCCGTGCGTGCGGGCGAAGCGAAGCTGCGTGGGCGGGCGAGAAGCAAGTCTCCTCCGGCTGAGGCGCGGCCGGACCACATGATTCCTCTCTGGGGGCCGGTGCCGCGCGGTGCCCCGCCAGTGTCCCGCCTCCGGCTGAGGCGCGGCCGGACCAAATGTTTCCTCTAGTGTCCCGTCGGTGTCCAGATGATGATGATGGTGGTGGTGATGATGATGCTGATGGTGATGTCGATGATGTTGGTGATGATGGTGAAATTAATGATGATGATGATGGTGCCCCGATGATGATGATGTTGATGATGATGGTGATGGTGGTGATGATGATGGTGCCCCGATGATGATGATGGTGATGATGTTTATGATGGTGATGATGTTGCTGATGATTACGATGATGCCCACATTATGGTGATGCTGGTGATCATGATGATCTTGATGATTATGATAAAGTGGTGATGGGATGATGATGCTGGGGATGATGATGGTGGTGCCCCAATGATGATGAGGTCGATGATGATGATGATGATGGTGATGGTGGTGATGATGATGGTGACCCAATGATGATGATGCTGATGATGGTGACGCTGGCGATGACGGTGCCCCAACGATGATGATGATGTTGATGATGAGGATGAAGATGAGGTGATTATGATTGTTTTGATGATGGTGGCCCGATGGTGGTGATGATGATGTTGATAATGATGACTGTGTCCCGATGATGATGATGGTGGTGATGATGGTTACGATGATGATGGTGCCCCGATGAGGATGATGTTGATGATGGTGGTGTTGCTGATGATGGTGGTGTCCCGATGATGATGATGTTGATGATGTTGTTCGTGATGATGATGACGGTGGTTGTCTTCCGATGAAGGTGGTGGTGTCCCGATGATGATGAGCTTGATGATGATGATGATGATGGTGGCGATGATGGTGTCCCGATGATGATGATGGTGATGATATGGATGATGATGGTGCTGAGGTGATGATGATGATAACGGTGCCCCGATGATGATGATGGTGCTGGTGCTGACGTTGATGGCGATGGTGTTGATGATGATGATGGTGATGGCGTTGATTGTGCGATCAATTGTGATATCGATGCTGAGATCGATAGTGAGACAAAATGTGAGATCGATTGTGAGATCGATCGTGGGATCGGCAGTGAGATCGATTGTGAGATCAAGAATCAGATCGATTGTGAGGTCGATAATCCGATCGATTGTGAAATCGATCGAATGAAATAGATCGAGCGGGGTCGATTGTGCGATCGATCGAATTATATCGATCGAGCGAGATCGAAAATGAGATCGATAGTGGTATCAATAGTGATACCGATCGAGTGCGACGTTGGTTCCTCCCCCCCAACCTCCTTATCACCCGAAGGGTGGTCGTATAGGTATATAGGTGTATGTGTATATATATATATATATATATATATATATATATCGCGCGAGGTGTGCGCGGCCGACACGCAGAACAGGTGCAAAAAAGCCAGGGGGCACTGTGCTGGGAAGGAACAGCAGAAGGAAGAAATCGGGATGGAAGAACAATCGCCTCGGCAGAATCAGCGAGATGATGGAGCATGGACGGCATAACATTACATTGGCGGAAACGCAACCAGACGCTGAAGTATTGCGTTTTTAGACGCCGAACTGATCAACGCCTGCGCGGCCAGCGCTCCGCGTTGCCGCGGCGCTTCGGAACATTGAAAGTTCCTGTTATTAATGTAAGAAGCGGTCGAGGCCTAGCTCGCCTGCCAGCCTCTCCACTTCCCCCATGCATTTCTCAGCGCGATCACCAAACGCGCGCAGGCGCGCCGCGGGGTCTGCGGGCGGGCCGCGGGCAAGACAATCAAACCCAGGGTCGCGCATTCTCAGCAGGTGTCCGCCGTGGTCGCTCTCGAGAACATCGCGTAGAGATGCAGCCCGAGCGCGTCCAAATCGTCCGCGTCCGCGCGCGCGGCGTCGATGATGACTCCGTTTCTTATGGCCCGGCCATGGCAGGCCGTGGATGCGAGGACCTCGGCGTGCGAAATGACCGCCCCGGTGCGCGTGACCTCATGCTTGCGAATGTCGAACGGGCTCGAGGTCTGCAACTCGATGAAAACGAGGCCCGCCGCATCCGCGGCGTCGATGCTAGCTGCGAGCTCCGCCAGCTTCTTGCCGCAGCGGCCCGCCTTGTATCTGCCCATGCGCGCCCGCGCCCCGTGCGGCAGGTCGCGCAGGTAAGCGGGGCGTCGCTTGGCCTTCGCTGCCTCCACCTCGTCCTCATCCATGGAATTGATGGCCACGTGTGCGACTTCGCCCTCGGCGCCCTTCGAACCAATTCTCAATGTCCAAATGCTCTAGCAGGTACGCGCGCATGCCGACGTGCATAGACAACATCCCGTGAATGACCCAGGAGAATCGAAGTCTAATTTGAATCTGCCGTCGGCACCCATCATGCTGCCCCCCCCAACAGATCAAAAAAACAGCGACAGTTTCGCAAATCGAAACCTCCCCCAAGGAAAATCGAGGTCTATATTTTGAACTTGCCGTCGGCACCCACCATGATGCCCCCCCCCCCCCCCCCCCGAAAAAACCCTCGGATGTGGCGAGAGCCTCGCGCTTCGCAGCCCCCTACAGGGATGTCGAGGTCGAATTTGAACCTACCGTCGGCGCCCACTATGCCGGCCCCCCCAGCAGCCCTCGAAAATGTCGACAATTCCTCACTTCACAACTCTCCAGATATGTCGAGGTCGAATTTGAATCTGCCGCCGACACCCACTATGCTGGCCGTCCCAGCATCCCTCGAATATGGCGACAATTCCAAATTCTCTGCCGTCGGCACCACTAGGCTGCCCCCTCCCAGCAACCCTCAAAAATAGTAGCAATTTCGCGGATCGCAGCCCCCCAGGGTGTCGAGGTCTAATTTCAATCTGCCGTCGGCACGCACCCACCATGCTGACCCCTCAGCAGCCCTCGAAAGTGGCGACAATTTTGCACTTTGCAACCGCTCCAAAAGGATGGCGAGGTCCCGTTTGGATCTGCGTAGGACACCACTGTGCATCCCCCGCCCCCAGCAACCGTCGAAAAAGGCGGCAGTTTCACACTTCGCGGCCCCCAAGAGGGATGCAAGCAGGCAGGCGCAGGCAGGTGAGAGGGGGGGACAGACGGGGGGGAGGAGGAGAAGAAGGGAATTGGCACCTCACTGCTCCTTTCAGAACGAGAACCCAGCAAAAGGAGGGTAGGGAAAAATAAGCATGCCACGAAACCCACGGTCCAAACAAAGGTGGGGCGGCGGTCTGCCCTCTCAAAAGCGTTCAATTAAATAATCTGGCTGATCCGGTTGGTCTGGCTGATCCAAATGATCCGGCTGGTCCAACTGATCCGGCTGATCCAATTGATCCGGCTAATCCAATCGATCCACTTGATCCGGCTGATTCAGCTGGTCTGGCTGACCCGGCTGAGTGATTCATTGACCGGGTGATCCGGTGACGCAATTTGGAAGAAACGTTTAATCCAGATGCATCCGGAATCCCCCAGGAGTCCTCGGGAATCCTGCAGGAAGCCTTAGAGGAGCCCATGGGAATCTCTCATGAAACCGAGAAATCACCTTCAAGGAAACGCTTATCAAACGCTATGTAGCGCCTATCAAACATTTTAAATGCTTGGAAGCTCAAGTGGGGCTGGTTGGGACCTGGACTGTTCCGATTTGCTACTGGAGAGGATCTGGACCGCCTAGTTGGGATCTGAGTCGTACAATTGGCATCTGGACCTTTCTCCCCTGGAGCTCTCGACCAGGCGCAGCCGAGGCAGAGTACCGGGGGACCCCGAATACACCCAATAATCCCAGAAAGTCACCGAGACCTCACTCCCACCCTCCTTCTCCAACGTCGTACTTTGGCGTGACGTGGGCTCCCTGGGAATCTCGGCCCCTTCCCCCAAGTCCCCCCAAACCAACTTGTCATCCATAACGATTTTTACACAATCCTGGGGCCGGGAACTGGTCTCGAGAAGACGAAAACGTAGAAACACCAGCCGTCATCCGTCAGTTATTTTGAACTTGCAACGCCCGGATCTGAAGGCCCTCCTCCCTCCCTCGTTCCATGGCGGCGCCGAGGGGGGCCCTCCTTGGCCAGCTTGACGTACTGCGCCCGCTTTTCCTGGGGCTGGCCAAGGTCGGCTTTGCTCGGCGAGCGCCAGAGCGCGAGCGGCGCGCCAGGGCAAGGGGGGGCGCAGGGGGGAAGGGGGAAAAGGCGCCCTCTCTCGATCCTCCTGCCTCCTCCTGCGCTTTCCTCTTCCTCCTGCTCCTGTTCTCCATCCCTGTCAAGCTCCTTCAAGCTCCGGAACGTCTGCCTCTAGATTTAAGCCGGGCCTGTCCCTCTACAGGGGGAGTGCTCAAAAACAAAAAACCATATGCGGACGTTTCTGTGGGAATCTATTTGAATCTTTTTCGAACATGCTTCTTGACTCTTTCGAATTTGTTGTCCCAAATCCGCCTGTAGGGGGACGTGCCCGACTTAACTCCAAACGAAACGCGGCGCACACCGCAAGGTTGTCGCACCTTGCGGTTTTTCGCGTGGTATTCTGCTCTCCCATGGGGCCCTCGCCGATTGATCGGGGCCCGACAAGTGCCGCACACAGGGGGGCTCGAGGATTCTCTGGCTGTGGCAGCTTTGTTCGCGACGTCGGATGACAGGGGGGGAAGAAAGCAATGATGTCAGGAAGGAAGAAAGCGACTTCTTTCTGCGTGTTACTCCAGATTTCGTAATAGAAGGGAGGGGGTCTGGACCCTCCAAGACAAGCCATTTCAGACCCCCCTCCCCGGGAGAGAACCCTCCAAAACATCGTCCCCAGACCCCCCCAGGCCCTCCAAGATAGCCTGGAAGAGATCCCCCCCCGAAATGAGACCCCCTCCTCTTTATTACGAAATCTGGAGTACCTCTTTTGGGCCCTTACGCCTCCGGAGTCATCCGGAGGCCCCTGCAAGCCTCTAGAGGCCTCTCGGGACCGCCGATGGAGACCTCCTGAAACCTGGGGGGCGTCCTGAAACCGTAAACCATGTCAGAACACATTTCTGAGACATCACCCATACGAGAACTTGAACATGTTTCACACTTGACACATGATCGACCCACGAATTCACAAGGGAATATAGAAATGTGAGGCATGGCAACGTTTTCAAGACATCTGATTGGGCGACGGGCAATTGCAATGCTGAGTATCTCGATCTGGATGTACCGTGACCGTGCCCAGGGCTGTGCTGTGCTGCGCCGTGCCAGCTGGCAATGTGCCATGCCGCGGTTGTGCTCTATAGCGTTGTGGATCGAGTCCCCCTTTGCATCCGAGCCCTGACCGAACTGATCTGCATCTTCAGCTCGAGCTGCCTGAGCACATAGTAGCTGCCCCAAAGCTAATTGAAGTAGAAGAGTGGAGGACGTTCAATCAACTTGACCTCAAAATCCGACTCAGCTCTGACAAGGAGCGACATGACACGGGGCACAGGGGCGCAATAGAGGATGCGCCAGGGGCGCAATAGAGGATGCGCCGGGGGACGTGCCAGGGGACGAATCAGGGGACGTGCCCTGGACGTGACAGGGACCTGCCACGGGACGTGCCAAGGCGCGTGCCATGGGGCGGCCAGAGGACGTCATGCCAAGGGACGTTGCAAAAGGCTTGCTACGGAACGGGCAGGGGAAACGCCTGGGGACGAGCAAGGGAACGCGACAGAGGACGAGCCCAGGAACGTGCCACGCCGAGTGGCGTGCTAGGGGACGTGCCAGGGAACGTCACGCCAAAATGTTGCCAGGGATGCACCATGGGGGCGCGCCAGGGCGCCAGGGGACGCCCCACGGACAGGCGGGGTGGACTGCGACGCGCTCTACTGCGACACGCGTTTCGCTAAAGACATCCGCAACAAATCCTCATGTTAGACATTCGCCTGGGCGATCTGGACACGTGAAACCAAGCGTCTTGCTTGAGACGTTCTCAACACCTCCTCATGCTAGACATCTGTCTGGGCAACCTGGACGTGTGAAAGCAATCGTTTCGCTCGAGACATCCTGTCCAACTCCTCATGTGCTTCGCTCGACACATCCTCAGCACGTCCTCATGCTAGAATCTGCGTGGGCGACCTGGACACGTGAAAAAAAGCGGTTCGCTCGAGACATCCTGCCCATCCAAATCTTCATGTTAGACATCCGCCTGGGTGATCAGGGCACGTGAAAACAAACGTCGCGCTTGAGACGTTCTCAACACCTCCTCATGCTAGACATCTGCCTGGGCGAGCTGGGCACGTGAAAGCACACGTTTCGCTCGACACATCCTCAAGACATCTGCATGTTAAACATCCGCCTGAGCGACCTGGACACGTGAAAACAAGTGTTTCGCTCAAGACATTCTCAACACATCCTCATGCTAGACATCCGCCTGGGCAACCTGGACACGTGCAAACAAGCGTCGCGATCGAGACTTCCTCAACACATCCTCATGCTAGACATCCGCCTGGGCGACCTGAACGCGTGAAATCACGTGTCTCGCTCGAGACATCCTCAACATATCCTCATGCTGGACATCTGCGTGGGCAACCTGGACGCGTGAAACCAAGCGTCTCGCTCGAGACATCCTCAAGACCTGGGCACGTGAAAACAAGCCTTTCACTTGAGAGATCCTCTGAATTCAGGTCCCCAGGAGAGGACAATCTCTAACATAAAACAAGCGTTTCGCTCGAGACATCCTCAACCAGTTCTGCATAACAAGCGTTTCGCTCGGGACATCTTCAAACATAATTTCGCCGGCCCTACGCGACCTTTGTTATTTACAACAAATAATTTCGCCGGCCCTGCGCAAGTCGAGGCCAAAGGGGAACCGAATAAAAGAGAGCCCTGGGCCCACGCCTTTTCCAAGAAAATGAATGGTCGCGGCGCTGAGGCGAGAACCGCGCTAAACAAATTGCCTGGCGAAGGACCCAACCAGAAGGAGTGATACGTGGGCAGTTGTGAGCACCATCTTCGGTGGATCCTCGTATTCGACCACAAAGCGTTTGAGGAGTGTGCCAACGTGGCCCGTCGGTGGCAGGCGGCCTTTTCTATTGGGGCTTTCGGTGGAGCTCCCCATGGGGCCACGAAGCGTGCGAGGGGTGCGCAGAAATGAGGCGGCACCGACATGCGGACGCTGCCGCTGCGGCCTTCGGCGGCTTCGCCCAGGCCACGGAACGTGCGAGGGGTGCGCCGAAATGTGGGATAGAACCGCATGCGGGCCCTACCTCTGGGGCCTCAGGTGGGGCAGCCTTTGGGGCCACGTAACGCGTGAGGGGTTCGCCGAAATGGGGGGGTGGAACTTCATGTGAACGCAGCCACTGGTGCCTTCGGTGGAGCTCCCTATGGGCCACGAGCCGTGTGACGGGTGTGCCGACATGGCGAGGTGGCGGCATGCGGGCCCTGCCACTGGAGCCTTCGGTGGAGCTCGCTATAGGGCTACGAAACGTGTGATTTGTGTGCCGAAATGGCGACGTGGCGGCATGCGGGCCCTGCCACTGGGTTCTTCAGTGGAGCCCCCTATGGGGCGACGAAGCGTGTGACGGGTGTGCCGAAATGGCGAGGTGGAGGCATGCGGGCCCTGCCACTGGGGCCTTCGGTGGAGCTCCCTGCGGGGCTACGAAACGTGTAAAGGGGGTGCCCACATGGCGAGGTGGCGGCATGCGGGCCCTGCCACTGGGGCCTTCGGTGGAGCTTCCTATAAGGCCACGAAGCGTGTGAGGGGTGTGTCGAAATGGCGAGGTGGCGGCATGCGGGCCCTGCCACTGGGGCCTTGGGTGGAATTCCCTATGGGGCGACGAAACGTGTGAGGGGTGTGCCGAAATGGCGAGGTGGCGGCATGCGGGCCCTGCCACTGGGTCCTTCGGTGGAGCTCCCTATGGGGCCACGAAACGTGAAACGGGTGTGCCGCAATGGCAAGGTGGCGGCATGCAGGCCCTGGCGCTGGGGCCTTCGGTGGATGTCCCTGTGAGGCTACGAAACGTGTGAGGGGTGTGCCGAAATGGCGAGGTGGCGGCATGCGGGCCCTGCCACTGGGTCCTTCGGTGGAGCCCCTATGGGGCCACGAAACGTGTGAGGCGTGTGCCGAAATGCTGATGAGGCGGCATGCGGGCCCTGGCACTGGGGCCTTCTGTCACGAAGCGTGTGACGGGTGTGCAGAAATGGCGAAGTGGCAATATGCGGGCCCTGCCACTGAGGCCTTCGGTGGAGCTGCTTATGGAGACGCGAAGCGTGTGAGGGGTGTGCTGAAGTGGCGAGGCGGCGGCATGCGGGCCCTGGCACTGGGGCCTTCGGTGGAGCTCACGAAACGTGTGAAGGGTGTGCCGAAATCACGCGGTGGAGCTCCCGATGGGGCTACGAAGCGTGTACGGAATGTGCCAAAATGGCGAGGTGGCGGCATGCGGGCCCTGCAACTGGGGCCTTCGGTGGAATTCCCTATGAGGCCACGAAACGTGAAAATGGAGCCGAATTGGCGAGATGGCGGCATGCGGGCCCTGCCACTTGGGCCTTCGATGGAACTCCCTATGGGGCTACGAAGCGTGTGAGGGGTGTGCTGAAGTGGCGAGGTGGCGGCATGCGGGTCCTGCCACTGGGGCGAGGTGGCGGCATGCGGTCCTGGCACTGGGTCCTTCGGTGGAGCTCCCTGTTGGGCCACGAAGCGTGTGAGGGGTATGCCGAAATGGCGAGGTGGCGGCATGCGGGCTCTGCCACTGTGGCCTTCGGTGGAGCTCCCTGTGGGGCCACGAAGCGTGTGAGGGGTGGGGCGAAGCAGGGACATGCGAAGCGCAGGGGCGAGGATGAGGAAACAGGGAGGAGGGGAGGAGAGGAGAGGAGAGGAGAGGAGAGGAGAGGAGAGGAGAGGAGAGGAGAGGAGAGGAGAGAGGAGAGGAGAGGGAGAGGGAGAGGGAGAGGGAGAGGGAGAGGGAGAGGGAGAGGGAGAGGGAGAGGGAGAGGGAGAGGAGAGGACGGAGAGGAGAGGAGGAGGAGGCGGAGGAGGAGGAGGAGGAGGAGGAGGAGGAGGAGAGGAGGAGGGAGGAGGAGGCGGAGGGGGAACGCTGGCGGCAACTTTACTCTTCCAAACGAAGAACCAACATCACAGGGAGAGCCCAACACCACAGATGATGGTT